CTCTCAGACTGAAGAAGTCTCTTGGAGGAGAGACGAAACGTTTCATTAGAGAAGAACCCGTCCAGAAGACCTATACAATTTTTTTCTTATTGAGTATATTTACTATATATTGCAATAATCTACTCTGTATTTTGCCAGACTATTGTAATCCTGGGGTCGTGATGATGGGGCATTGTTGCCCAGGGTACAGCAAAGTGTTAATCCGGTCCTGTGCATCAGGACATAAAGCTAACATGTTTTTTTTAAGCTAAATAACCTCAAAAAAGGCTGAACTTACTTGCTAAATTTGATGGATGACAAGATATGTTCAGGCCCCGAGTCTTTAGCGGCCTGTGGACACATGAGGGCGTCAGAAATCAAACCTGAAAGAGAAACTGGACAGAAAGGCATGCTCTGTGAGTGGAACCAGCTGACCTCTTTGTTTGTGACCGTAAAAGATCTGCAGCCTCGACCTGCYCGCTCAGGGCGAGCGGGGAAAGGAGTCCTGGACCAGCTGGATGAACTGGGTCCAGCTTTAAAATCTGGTCCGCTGACTCCTGTCAACAACATGAAGGCACATAAATCCAGGAGCACTGAACATATTTCACGTTAGATTAATCCGAGAAAAACCTCTCTCTCCTGCAGGGGTACGAAGGTCTCGCACAGACAAATGAAAGCACAAGACTCACAGCTTCACAAAGGGTTAGTTTTTATTCCAGAAGTCAAACAGAACAAAAGGCGGGTAACGACAGCAGGACTTTCAAGAAAAGATGACGTTTACTGACTGATACAAAGACAAACACTGATCTGCAGTCTGATGTTAAAGAGGTTAGCATCATGTTGAAAGAAACGACACAATTCTGCTAAAAAGAATAAGGCATAAAGACAGCGAGACAGAACGTTTAAACTGACAAGAGACAGAAGAAAGAGACAGTATGCTGAGGGCACCGGACAGGTTCCCCTCAGGGTTTAAAGCAGCAGAAACAAGATTTGGGTTTGTCCAATGAGCACAAAACCACTCCTTTTACCCTAATAATTACTTCTGATTTTAGCCATAAATTATTCTAAATATTAGGGATGCACGATATATCGGTATTGATATCGGTATCGGCCGATATTGGTCATTTTTTAGAATATCGGTATCGGTCCGATATGTAAAACGGGCCGATATTAATGTCCGATATTGATTTCCCACTTTTWAGCTTTGTGTTTCTGTTTTGGGAGGGGAGATGGTTGGTTGAGCAGCATCTGTTTGATCATGATAGTGATATTGATGCTGCGCAGCCAGGATTAACAGAAGTAGAGCCATTGTCAGAGGTCTGGTTGTTTATTTACAGTATCAAAAAAAGACCCAAGTGTGTTTTTGTGTATATGTATAATATAATTTGCATGTTTGTGTACTATCGGTAAATATCGGTTATCGGCCATAACACCAATAATTATATCGGATATCGATATCGGCTGAAATTTTCATATCGGTGCATCCCTACTAAATATATTGTCTAATTTGCTGGATTAGAATTTGTTTAAATATCAATTAAAGTGCAAAATACTCAACTTTAAACCTACACGACAACACTTGTGGTTATATTTTGGCAAAGCAACGACGGTGGCCACTAATTTATGCTTCATGATCTGAGGGGAGCTTTTACAACAAAGCAAGGCACAGCATTACAACAACAGATCACAGCACTGCATCGGACAGCAGCTGCAGCCAGAGCCGAACACAGACAAAAAAAAAAAAAAAACCTTCCGAGCTCAAAGATGGTTCAACTCCCGGAAAAAAAAAAAAAAAAACGTCTGATCTTAACACGCAGACCAACATTAAGTACTGGGATGAAGCAACACGAAGTAATGAGTTACAATCACTATTATTCCCACAAAGATGTTCACACAGAAATCAAAACAACGAGGGAGTCTTTTGTTCTCGAACTGCTAAAAACATATAAACTTTTACAGCAATTAAATACGGAGCTACTCAGTTCACACAGGGAGACTCTTATCTGCATGAATAAACTATGAGCTGTGAATGTTATTTACAATCAGAACCCATACTGGCATCTTATTTAACAATTATAATAAATACTCGCCAACTTGACTTAGACCAGGGGTCTGCGAGCTTCGGCTCTTCGGCTCACAAATAAAATGGAAACTTTTTGGAAGCATRTTCTATTTGGGCAGTAGCAACAAAAAATCTGATTTTGAGGAAAAACGCCTTAAAATTTTGAATTTTTCCCTGTGAGCTAACAATGTTTTTGTTTCTTTCCAACTGGGAAATCTTAGTATACAAGTAATATTTGAGGTTTACTCTTTATATTAACATCAAAAACTACTCAATAAACTTACATAAAATTAGCATTCAGACCAAACAGTAATGTATTATCGTAACAAACAAGATAAATTAAGTCTTACCTCTGGATAAGCTTATGATTTCAGAATGATCCAGGTATCAAAATGTAGCTTTTAAAGGGATCCCCTATTAGTTGTAACATTAGACTTTATATGATAAACATATAATTTAACTGTAAAATAAAGACTGTAAAAATACTGTAGGATGTTCAGTTTTTATCATTTTTAAACTAAAAGTTTAAAAATATATTACACGGACGGGGCCATTTTATTTACATGCAAAGCATTCTGGGTAAATGATGACATCAACTAGGTCCACGGTGCGAGACTGCTAGCGAGCTATATCCACCCTGAAGGTTAATCTTGGACAGTATCTGATGATCGACTCTTTTAAATGAAACCAGAGAGCGTTGACAGAGAGGAGAAGGTAGAAATGACTCAGCCTGGAACTGAAAATATGGATGGAGGACAACAGAGCTGCTTCATGGAAGAAGAACCTCAGCTTAGCCTGTTAGCTTTAGCATTAGCCCCAACGCAATCACCATATATGTATTAGCTCAGCGCTACACATTCTCCTCTCGTCACTGAGGTCCTCCATCCACATGACAGAGAGGGGAATGCAAAAATGACTCAGCCTGCAATTGAAAATATGGATGGAGGACCTCAGTTTAGCTTGTTTGTCACGCTAGTGCCGAGCTATTATAGCATGTGCGCTAGCACAAAGGCTAACAGGCTAAGCTYAGGTTCTTCTTCCATGAAGCAGCTCTGTTGTCCTCCATCCATATTTTCAGTTACAGACTGAGTCATTTCTACCTTCTCCTCTCTGTCAACGCTCTCTGGTTTCATTTAAAGAGTCGATCATCAGATATTGTCCAAGATTAACCTTCAGGGTGGATATAGCTCGCTAGCAGCCTCGCACCGATGACCTAGTTGATGTCATCATTTACCCAGAATGCTTTGCATGTAAATAAAATGGCCCCGTCTGTGTTAAAATATATTTTAAAAAATTTACAAAACTAAACAGCCTACAGTATTTTTACAGTCTTTARTTTACAGTTAAAATAAATGTTTATCAAATAAAGTTTTATGTTACAACTAATCATGGATCCCTTTAAATCCATAAATCTGAAAATGTCATTTTGACCAAATTTGACCTCATTTCGATACGATGGATCACAAAAGGTTACCCTGATGGAGTTAAGAGAAAGATCAAAGTTTAAAGCTGGAGGTTGGATTATTAAAATGATCTAATCAACATGTTTCACTATTTTATTAGGAGCATTGATCTGCAAACAAACTGACAGGAAAGTTGCTAAAATTAGCTTTTTCTGTATAGAGTTTAAAAGCCAAACAATTAATCTCATGTTAGTTTTGGTCAAAGCTTCAAAGGGCCACATGTGGCCCTCGAGCCAGAGGTTTCAGACCCCTGTACTAAATCAATGTATTTATTTTAATGGTATGCCGTTGGCGATCCTTGTTATTCCAGCAGAGATGAGGACTGAAGCCGGTGGCGGTTCTGTTCTGGCAGTGGACGACTCAGTGGACTTTGGGACATCAGGACCAAAGCGGGTCTAATACCGGAATGATTTAAAAGATACTGGACTGAAGGAATCGCTAAGTTGCATTAGAAAGTTTTAAAAAGGACATTTAAAATATATTTGTTGAACGTCACATTATTGTTTTAAGATTAAATGTAATCTACAAACGTATTTTGAATTAGCTCCTAATGACTAAAACTAGACTAAACTAGCCTGAAAGACAAAGAAAAAAATAAAATAAAAAAGTAAAAGGTTCTGTTTAACTTGTTCTTAAATTAAATTAAACCAATTAAAAATAACTAATTAAAAGTGCATTATGGTAAAAGTTTAAGCATCATGTTTGTTTCAGTGTGCTGTGTTGATCGTGCGTTTATGGACCAAGGAAAATATCAGATTTTTCAGTACTAAGCGTTCAAAAATCGGAGAAAAAAAAAATCAGATTTTTCAGATTTGTTCAGCCAGTACCGATTTCAGGCCGATGGTTCGGTGCATCTTCAGTTCAGACCTTTTGAAGTGGTTTTCTATGAAGAGGTTGTGAAAAATGAATATCTTACCTGCTGTAGATTGTTCAGACTAAAAGTTTAATTCTGACTGGACTGGAAAGCTAACAGTTAGTCTTGGAGGGACTGGACCAGAGATCTTAAAACAATCTTTTATATTTCATAGCTCATAACGAGGCTAGTTTGAAAAAAATAAAATAAAATTCCACTGCTTTCAATTTAGCGTCACACGGTTATTTCAACAGAAATATTAAAATACTCTTACAGGAAATGCCTCGGGCTGCACTGTGAGTGCTACAGCTAGCTGCTTCTGCTGCTAACATTGTAAATAACCACAAAATTCTACAAAAATAGACGTTTATTTTAAAACTGCTTACGATGTAAAGGTTTATAAAACAGTGTCTGAAATGCGGCTCAGACTAGCTGTTAGCCTGGCGTGAGGACTTGTTCAAAGGTTTGCAGCAGGTAAGATGTTCTTTATGACCTCTCAARGGAACGCCACCTCAAAAGACCAGGGGCCTCATGTATCAACGGTGCGTACGCACAAAAACCTCGCGTACGTCATTATCCACGCAAAACTCTGGATG